ATAGATTTATTTATTTTATTTTTCTCTTTTTTTTTTTTTAATTTTAAAGATGTGCGGTACAATCCAGGGTTAGGTATACGAATGTTCATTATGCAGGTACCCTTGTGGATGAGATGCGCCCCTCCCTCCTCTGGCAGTTTCCCTCAACTGCCAATCCCAGCAACAGATTATTTTAATAGTCATACACAAGTGTGGCCTTACCTGGAAGATGGGACAAGCCAGAGTTAAGAAGAAAATTGTGTATTAGAACAACTCGCTAAAACAGAGGCTTAGATGTAAATGTTGGCAGAAGCTGTGGACTTCCAATGAGTGATTGACTGGGCAATAGATTATTTTATTAGCCATACAGGAGTGTGGACTTACCTGGAAGATGGGACAGGCTGGGGTCACCAGGAAAACTGTGTACTAGAACAACTCACTAAAGCAGGGGTTTACAACACCTGAGCTGCGGATTGGTACTGGTCCGTGGCGTGTTGGGACCTGGCCACACAGCAGCAGGTAAGCAGAGGGCATGTGGAGCTCTGCCTCCTGTCAGATCAGCAGCAGTATTAGATTCTCATAGGAGCATGAACCCTATCTTGAACTGCACATGCCAGAGATCTAGATTGCGCACTCCTTATGAGAATGTAATGCTTGATGATCTGAGGTGGACCCGAGGCAGTGATGCTAGTGCCAGGGAGCAGCTGCAAATACAGATTAACATTAGCAGTGAGGTTTGACTACACCTACCCTCTGCCCTGCACCCTGTCCATGGAAAAATTGTCTTCCGCAAAACTGGTCCCTCATGCCAAAAAGGTTGGGGACTGCTGCACTAAAGTATACTGGTGGCCTGAAAGAGTGCAGACACCAAAGAGTACACACTTCCACACAGAGGAGCCCTCATATTCCAATGTATGTCTTCAAAGGAGGTTAATTGAGAGCATTAGATATCTCTCTGGCTTGACCTGAGATGTTCAACTATTTGTCACTTGAAAGAGAAACGTCAAGTGTGTGCTCACATGTGCAAGAACTCACCTTGAAGGTGCCTTCTCTCACTGGCCTGGGGACTTTGGACCAGGAAAAGTCTGGAAGGAATCATTTTTGGACTGGCTGAGGAACTGAAGGTCTCTAAAGCCTGATGATGGTTTGGAAGTTGAAGTCACACTCTTGTGAAGAGGACACCCACTGTTCTGCCTGTATGGTTTCTGGGAAGAAAGTGATTCCTTGCTTTCCTCAGCCTAGATGAAGGGAGTGGGATTGGTAAATTCCATTCTCAAACTTAAAAGCAGAGACTGATGCTACACTAATTTCTGCATTCTCTGATCCCAAGTCAGAAACTAGACCATGCGCTTTGTGAGCTCGTCTGGGTCCACATATTATAGAGGAGGCAGTGATGAAGGCCTTAAAAAAAAGATGATTGTTTTCAGGGAGTTAGAATGAACACACTGAAAAGCATAACTAGATTTTTTTTTGGTAAGAATTCAAAACTGTGAGGTACCATGCTAGGTTGCTGTGAAAATTAAACAAGACATTTATGTAAGGAATCAAGTACGATGCCCTATATCCAGTGTGCATTCCCAAAAAATGGTTGTTGTTATTGCTGTTGTTGAGAAAGTCAAGCTAAAATTCTGGGGAAAAGAAAGAAGAGTTAAGTCAAAGCTCATTGGCTCCATAACTCAATCTCAGGGAGCACCACTTTTATCATCTATAACATGAGACCGATAATACCTTGTCAGCTACTCTAGAGTTGGTTGATGTCTCCCAGCAATTCAATGCCCTATTCACTAGGCTTATTTGAATGAACATTTTAACAGTGGTCAAATTCCTTGGGCAAGGTAATCCAGAACATGTAGGAAGAAGAATTGTTCTGTACTTTGATAAACCACGTGTACAACCGCAAAATGAAAAGATCTTCACACTGAAAATTGATAAAGGTCTAAACGGGAGGTTGGATACTGGTTGCTTCCCTTCCTACATGAACGCCAGAGAGCTTCTCTTCCTACATACATGGCAGAGAACTCTGGAAAGGGTACCACCGCTTTCCTACAGGCTCTAGTTTTTGCAGCGCTACACTCTCCATTTGACATTAGAAGGAGAACGCGTTCTAAATTATGTGCAAAGGACTCTTAAGGCAAACAGCCTGAGGTTTTACTAAGGGTTTTTTTTACAGGAGTCAGGTGTAGCAAGGCAGTGAGGTCGGAGAAGAGTGGTCTCATTACAGTTCTGTTTCACAGATTGCCTTATGCCCTATTTGACCTGCTAAGCTGCCTGCTTCTAATATCTTCTTTAGAACCCGTAGGACTGTGGGCCCTTTCAAGGAACTTTTGTTTGTTTGTTTGGTTTGTTTTTGTTTTTGTTTTGTTTTTTGAGTTGGAGTCTCACTCTGTCGCCCAGACTGGAGTGCAGTGGCCACTCCCAGCCACCGCAGCCTCGACTTGCTGGGCTCCGACGATCCTTCCACCTCAGCCTTCCAAGTAGCTGGAACTACAGGCGTGCGCTACCATGCCCGGCTAATTTTTTTTTTCTTTTTTTTGATTTATTGTAGAGATGAGGTCTTGCTGCCCAGGGGGGTCTCGAGCCCACGGGCTCAGGCAATCCACTCACCTCAGCCTCCCAAAGGCGCGGGATTACAGGCTGAGCCACCGAGCCCGGCTCAAGGAACTTTTTAAGAGCTCTACTCAGGAGCTAGGAGTTAAGGATACTAAGAAGCTAATTAATTATTTTCTTTCATATAAGTAACGTTGGAACAGAGATATAATATAGTTTCGTTTCCCAAGTAAGTTGGAGGATAAAGCTTCAACATATAACAGATATCTTAATATTTCAATCTGAGCAAACAGATCCCAGGGCAGACGTATTACCTTGGTCCTAGCCTGTGAGAACCTGGACTGTTTACTTAAGAGGCAGGAAGATATTCTGTACATGAGCCCTCTTAATGTATAGTGTCCCTTACTTATTTACTATAGCCCTGATTTTCTGAAGGCCAAAGCCTCCTAACTGCTACAGGTATGATGCCTTATCAGCTGCAGAAAGAAGACCAAGCCTCAAATGCCTAAAGTGTTTGGAAAATACAATTTCCAATCTTCTGGGAAATCCCCCTCTGCCTTTAATTTCGCTAGAGAGAAAGCAACTTAATGAGAAATAAGAAGGCTGGAGCAGCTCCATAGAGGCTGGCCAAAGTGCCAACTTCTTCTCCAGGTTAGGGAGACGGAGCTAGCATGGTGGTCAACAGAGCTTCAGAGGTCAAGGCTGTTTGCAGCTCTTGTGCCCCAAACTCTCTTGCACCTCTGAATTCCAAAGTAACAGCTGCATGAGATTCATTAAACGAAGAGAGGAGAGATTGCTCAGGTGGTGTTTCAGAGGGTGTAGGCAGCAGAGGTGGCGATGCAAGAGATCAGAAACAAGGAGAACAAACGGAACCCACCTGCTTTCAAGAGCAAGGGAGCAATGGAATAAAGGATTGCATCCAGCTTCATCCCTTGGGGGGCATGCTGCTTGTTAGGTCTCCCTTGATTGGGTGTGACTATATTAAGTGCAATATGTCAATCTAATCACATCTCAGTCAATGGAAAAGTTGGAGACCACACTTCCTTGATTTTTTTTTCCTTCCTTAAAACACCAGAGAAATGAGAATTGTGATTAAGCCTGGGCACAATTTTATATTCAGAGATTGTTTATCTGAATTGTTTATCACTATTGGATCACCATAGGGATTTGAGGAATTCAATTCGTCTTTTAGGGCATGCGGTGACCTTACTGGTAAGAGAATGTTTATGTATTTTCTCACACATCTAGAAATCAATGAGAAACCTTTACTCAAACTGTCTCTCTTTGCTTTTTTTTTTTTTTTTTTTAATTGTGGGGTACAATTCAGGGTTAGGTACACAAATATTCACCGTTCAGTTACCCTTGTTGATGCCCTCCCCCCCTTTGCTATTGATGCAGGTATTTCCATATGAAGGCAGTTTGGACTCACAAAATTTCAGCGGTCTTGAGAAGGCCAGAGAAGTCTGTGTGGGGTAGGGAAGGTCTCTGCATGTGAATGGACCGCTCTCTCCTTCTCCCCACCTGTCCCTCTCCAGAACCTCGCCCCAGGCCCCTCAGCATTTTCTGAGGAAAGTGCTCTGCAGCGCCTCATCTGCTTCTGTATCTCATTGTTTCTTATAGGGATCAGGGGTACCATTTTAAACATAACATTGCCACGTTTGTGTGCACTGCTGAGAACATCATCCTTGTTTTCAGAGTATATTTAAAGAGTTAGTAGAGAATGGCTCTTGTATTATCATTAAAGCTTTTCCTTCAACCCGAAACCATGAGCCTTACGGTCTAGTCGCTCCCACAGGTGTGTGAGGCCCTGATGAGGAAATGCTGCACTGCCAGCCTCCCTAACAGGGGCCTGTCGTGGTGAGCCCTGCCACAGGATGGACAACTGCTGTGGACCATCAGGACATCACCTGGAGGTCACAGATCTGGGTACGGTGTATGCCACTGCTCTTCCACATGGGATGGGCATGTCATGTCTGAGCAAACTGACCTTTTGTTCTGTACCAGGTGGAGTTGGAACTCTAGAATTTCCTTTTTGAGCCCAGGATCAACTTGGGTTTTATGGAGTGTGAAGTCTAGATTACACCCAAATTTTATTGTTGCCCAAAGAACAACTTTCTGATACTGACCCTTATCGGCCTACTACCTAGTGGGAGAGGAAGCCGAGTTCTAGCAGGCCAGAGGGTCTAAAAAGCCCTCCTTGATTGTGCATGACCTTCTCCACCTAGTATTTCCAAGTGGAACCACCTGCTACTAACTTAAGGGAGAGTTGCCAGCACTGGACTGCAGAATATGGAGTATTTTAAGTTTGTCATGGAAAATTCTAGGATCAGTCATCCATTCCTCAGAAATAACATCTGGGTCTTGAATTAAAATTTCTGACTCTCAAATCTGAATGACTCTTAGAGGCTGATGGCTGTTTGTTCAAAGTGATGGGAAATCACATAACATGAAATTCATCATGGGACACATGGGAATTTACTTTCGAGAACTTTATTTGTGCTGACATGACACAACCAAGGCAAAGTAAAATGTATATGGATGGATAGCAACAGGGATAAATCTAAGTTTGTCAGTGACTTGTGAATAAATTATATTGGCCCTTCTCTGTAATAATTTATATTGTATTAGCAAGTGATGTAACCACGTGAATCTCATGTCAACCCTCAGACATATATACATATCATACATTGTGTACCTGTTAATTCCTATATATTTGGATCTCTGTATGTGTGTGTGTATGTGTGTGTAGTGTACTTTAAGAAGTGCAAATAGCTAAGTCTAGGGGAGTGGTTGTAAACTGAGTTATGGTAAATCACTGATGCATGCTTTAGCAGTGAATATAGTTTTTCACATGATTTTATTTTGTCCTTTAAAGGTAGTACCAGTATTAATTAAATAGATCCACAGATAGAATGTATTTTGTGAGAGTATTTTTGACATCTTTGTTTATTAAACTTAGCAGACATTAAGTTAGTATTTTCGTTTTGAATAAGCCCCCTCGGTATGCACCACAAAATAGAATCTAAATATAAAGCACTTTGGTACTCCATGCCATCGTTATAATTTAACACCACACTGAATGCTACAGCATTTCATAAAGTTAATTCTTAACTACAAGGATGACTCTTGATCTTAGTCATGGTTAGTTCCATCTAGGCTTTAGGTTCCTCCCTGTTTCTCTTCATCAGTCTGTAACAACAACAGCACTTGGTGTTAGACAGCACCATCCATCACACCCCGAAAGAATGAGCAGACATGGGCACATGTGCCCTTCTGCCACTTCTGCAAGATAGAAGCAGACTGCAGAGGGTGCCCTGAGACTCACTGAAAGCAGAGCCATGTCAGGGACAGAAAAGACACTGAGGTATATCCAATAAGATGACAACACAATGCCTCAGCGGCATGCCACCTCAAAAACTGATGGAGCAAGTTCCTGAGATGGATGATCCTGCCACCCTCCCTCTGAGCAGCCAGCCGCCATGCCAAAGCTCTGGCTCTGCCTGCTGGTCTTTGGAGGTGACAGGGATGCTAGAGTGCAGCTCCCTCTACCTGCTCCCAAACAGACAGTGTGACCCAAGTCTTGGGTTGGGTCCCCCACGAAAAGGAAAAGTGCAAGGAACAGGCACTTATCATTCTTGTGGCATTTAGCACACTGCTTCCCGCTGTGCGCCGCTGCCCCTGTGTGTCTGGTAGTGGGACTGCTTTTGCTCTCTTCCCAATCACCCTGTCTACTAAGAGCAAGGAGGCGGCGTGCCTCCTGCAGCCGGCAGAAACCAGCATGCAACATACGTCTCCCTCTCAACAAGGTGAAACAACTGATGTAAAAAAAAATTGCTTAAATTACTCAGAAACTTTAATCGCAGACACTTTTCCATTCAACATTTCTGAAATGAAAGCTCGGCTTCTCTCCTTTTTTGCCCAAAGGCTGTGAAGGCGGTTCTATGAGACCCCGTGTCTTCTTGTATGTACATATCTACATCCGCATCTCAGCAAAAGGTGTCTTGATCACAGCCCTACACCAACTCTGCGCTGGGTTCCAGCATATAAAACTCAGAGAGTCAAACACTTTCAAAAAAGGACAGGATGCAACCACAGTAAAATGGCAGGAAAACTTGTAGCTTGATACCTGTTTCTTCTAAGTTCAACTCAGAAACACAATAATAATTAAGAGGAAAAAAATAAGCGGTCCTAGCTCTCATCCCTGCTACCAAACACACTAGCCTGAACCTCTGCTGTGTTAAAGTGCAATTGCTCTTGCGAAGTTGCTCAGGCCAGGGATCAGGCTGGACGGAGTTCAAAGCAGAAACTTCAAACGCTCACTGCTCATGACTCGGGAGCTGGGAGGAAGACAGAGGAGAAAAGGAACGACGGTTCTCAGGCATTCAAGTGCATCGAAAGAATAAGTGTCCTTTCTTTTGGTAAAGAACATCTGTAAATGGTAAAGGAATCTTGGTTTGGAAAAATATAACTTTCTAACAACTTCTATCTGAGGATGTCCCACTGCGGTAGAGTCAACAGGCTGGCGAGCGCAGCAAGCAGTAGGGCCTGGGCACTCCTCCCAGGGGCCCGGCCAAACAGGGTGCTTCCGCTGTCTTCTACAAGGTCTTCAGCCCTGGGCGAAGAGGAGGCACACTGGACCAAGGGCATCTGGTAGGATGTGGCTCGCTTCTCCGGCCTGTCTGGGCTGGACCCATCGCTGGGCCTCTGGCCGTTGAATAGCAGGTAGCGCCCCCGGGCATCCTGCTCCATTTTGAAGATCTCATATTCTGTGTGAGGTAGTTTGATTCCCAGGGCCACACAGCCATTGGTGTGCGTCACATCCTGCTGGATGCCCACCTGCCAGGAGCCCTCAGCCCCACACTCATTCCCATTGAAAACATTGAGAAGCGAGGCTGTGGCCGCATCCATGGGGGTGACCTTCATGTGATTCACTGTGAAGAAGAGAAGAGAGCTCCGTGACTCTAGGGAGTGGGCATGAGAGGCAGAAACCTTCCCAGCAAACACTGGCCACATGTTACCTCACAGGGCTTTCTTTTCCAGAAACAATCCCACCTGCAGACCACCCATTGGACTGAAGTAGGTATCAACGAATTCTAAGGAGGGAAGAGTTCATACTGATCTGAGTGGCAGGCACACCAGAGATGCTGCAGGTGTGGCCAGAAAGCACGGACTGCATTTGCTATAGAAATCAGACTGCAGCTGATGCCTGTGGGTGTGAAATAAAACTACAGTAGCGCACAGAGCACTCCCAGGTGTATCTGGTAACACAGACTTCTGGAATTTGTTTTTATGCAAAGGTTTTGAGGTTTCTAAAAGTTTGGTGCCAAACATTTATTGTCATTAGCATTCCCACATACTAGTACAGGCATCTAAACACAGGTATCATAAATCAGTCATCTAAAATAAGTTAGGCTGCAAACAAGAAAAAAATATGAGTAAATAAATTAAACACAAATTCTAGCAATGGCAGAGAACTGCTTTTGAAGGTTCTCCCGGGGAACTACATTTTGCATATAACATGATAAGCTTTGGGGTGGAGTCAGAAAAAACTCAAAGGGCCCATGTTCCTGGGGCAAAACATGCAACCTAAAAAAGGGCCAGGGTACTCTTGGATTTATCTGGGCTAATAGAAAACATTTACTAATAATCAGACTGAGCTGCAGAATGCCATTCTGGAAAAGCTACACCTAGGGTCCGAGGTCTAGGCCATCTCTCTCTATTTAGTGTGACAGGACTAATATCATTTTACAAAGATGCTCAAGCCTTAAAAAAAAGAAAAACTTCTAAAATAACGACCACAAGACTTCCTTTGCTGATAGAAGCCTGGTGTGGTTCATCCCTTACTGCCTGGTTTAGCCTGAACCTCCCCAAGGATGCGCCCATCAGCAAGCAGGTGACAGCCTCTCAGGAGCAGGCAAACTCAGGGCTGGAAATGACAACTCCAAGTATCTGAGGTGTCACTGTCATCTCCCCTTGATTGCCCACTCAAGAAAGTACTGGGCATGCAAGCAAGTGTGATGTTATTAGAGGGGCAGCTCACAATTCATGATTGTTGAGTGTAACAAAGGAAAGACGCAGACTTGAGATTTCTTTCTTTCTTTTTTTTAAGACATAAAGTCTTGCTTTCTTTCTTTTTTTTAAGACATAAAGTCTTGCTCTGTCATCCAGGCTGGCATGTAGTGGTGTGATCAAAGCTCACTGCAGCCTCCACCTCTTGGGCTCCTGCCTCAGCCTCTCAAGTAGCTGGGATCACAGGCACGAAGTGCTGCACCCAGCCAGACTTGAGATTTCATTTGCAGTAACATATGTCTTTTGTGGGCCTCACCTGACAGCTGCCTGTGCATGGCGGCATGGGCTACTTCTCATCTGGGCCTGCATGTCAAGGTCACCTACCCTAGCCCTGTTCTGAGCAGGGGAAACTCAGAGGGCATTGTCTAGGACTGCCTCGAGGCAGAAATGACTTCCTGATTTCTTCCCCAGCATCTCAAGTAGAAGAGGGGTCCCCTCTCTCCAGCTCTGCTCCACAAAAATGTCACAGAGCTGCCCGCTGGTCATTGTACTGAGATTCTTGGGACTCGGGGAGGGCATCCTACCTTTGAACACAAACTCTGTGCCTCCCATGACCCGGGAGGACAAAACACCACGACTGTAGCGGCCCCGGGCGTAGATGGAGAAGGTGGGGTGCTTGCACACGGGGTCCGAATAGTGGTAGTAGTGCCCCTCCCAGGTGTTGTTGTTGTCATGGAAGATGAAGTGGCGGGTGAGGAAGAGGACTTCAGGGCGCACCTCACAGCGCTGGCTCACCCACTCCCCGTGCAGGCCGATGGTCAGGTCAGCCTTTGGGGGCAGGATGGGAGGGTGGTGCTCATCTGACCGGTAGATGATCCGACAGGCGATGCAGGCATGGTCGTGGTTCTGAAGCCAAGAAACACACACACTCAGAGAGGCCTCTGTCTACCCTAGAGAGCAGCGAATACTTGCTTTCCTGAATTGGGGTCCCCCCATGGCTGGGAGTGGGCAAGCACCCAGGTCACCGTCACTCATAACCTGAACATCCAAGAGGCAACGAGAGCCACAGACAGAGAGGAGAGTGCAGCATGCGTGTATGAGTGTGGGTATGTGCAAACTCACAAGTGCATGCATGTGTTCGCCTAGTAGTATAGACTTGACCAAATATTTCAGCTATCATATGGACTTTCATTAGACTCCTATTAAGTTTTCAGACCACACGATTTCACAAATAAATGAGAGTAGCACCCCACACCCCCAGGATGGCTACTATCTAAAACACAGAAAACAGCAAGTTGGTGAAGATGTGAAGAAAAGGGAACCCTTGTGTATTGCTGGTGGAAATGTACAACAGTATAGTCCTTATGGAAGACAGAATGGTGGTTCCTCCAAAAACTAGACAGAATTAGCACATGATCCAGGTAGTACACTTCTAGAAATACTGTATACCCAAAAGAACTGAAAGCCATGACAGGAACAGATATTTGCACACCCATGTTCACAGCAGCATTATTCACAGTAGCCAAGAGGGGAGACAGCTCAAATGTCCATTGATGAATGAATGGATAAACTAATGGTGGCATATCCACACAATGGAATATTATTCAGCCTTGGAAAGGAAATTCTGACACACACTGTAACACAGATGAACCGTGAGGACATTGTGTTAAATGAAATAAGCCAAACAATACTGTAGGACATCAATTATATGAGGTACCCAGAGTGATTACAGTCGTAGAGACAGAACATGGAAGGGTGGTTGCCAGGGACTGGAGGAAGGGACAAGGAGTAATTGTTGAATGGTTTTCAGTTTGGGAACATGAAAAAGTTCTAAAGGTAGATGGTGGTGATGGCTGCACAATGTGAGTGTACGCAATGCCACAAAGCTGTACACTAAAAAGCAGTTAAAATGGTAAATTTTACATTATGTGTATTTTTAAATTAAAAATTTTCAATAACAAAATTACAAGGTACAAGTAGAGAGAGAAAAAAAAGGCCAGCACTCTGATAGCAGTGAACGTAAGGGAGTTGTCTAGTAAAGGCAGGGTCCTTTCAAAGGGAGCATGGCAAGAGCAGAGGCCGCTGGGCCGCAGTCATCTGATGTCCGTTTCTGCTCACCTCCAGGTCTGGAAGGTCGCTGGACTCTCAGCTGGGCTCATGCTTTCCCAGTTTTAAGCTATAAAATTAGCGCAAGTTAGCTGGCTCCGTCTTTCAGGGGATCCTCTCTTGCTGAGTGTGTTTTATAACACTGACATGCCGGGGTCAAGGTCTGAAAGGTGTAGAAAGGTGTCTGGTAAGGGGGACACATGCCAGAGACGTCGGCCTCGTCCAAGCTGTTCGCTTGGAGGGCTTTAGGCTGACACAAAAGCCTAAGTCTGGAAGTCAGAGCGCTGGATGCCTGGACACAGTGCCATCACCTCACTGTCTGACAGAGGTCACAGGCCACCTCTGAGTCAGGGCCTGCCTCACTCGGTACATGGAGTCCACTCTCTGCTACTTTCCACCCCCATCAGGGGGCAAGGCAGCCTGGCTAGCAGAACACAGACCACCAGAAGCGCACGCCAATCCGATCAGGTTGTGTGGGCAGGCAGAGTGGTATCACTCAGTGTTCGGGACACAGCTGGGCCACCCCAGCCCCCCACACCCATATCCAAGCTGGCCTCACACCTGCCCTGCGTCTGGGCAGGCAGGCGCATGCTTGTTCTCCAGCATTTGCTTTCTAAGGTCAGAGATCTCAATCACCAAGGTCTTTGGGTTTACAGGATATGATTTTGTTGAGGCCGTTGTTTGGCTAGATGCTCACCTTTCTGGGAGACGGTAGGGTGTGGGAGGAGCAATGGGCTTTCCAGCTGATGCCCTGCACTCTTCTCCTCTGAGAAGAACTCGATGCTTGCTAACTTGCTCAGCTGCTGCTCTCGTTAGATGCACCTGGAGTCGCCATTCATGCGAGGGAAGGTTTCCTTTGCTAACATGGTTTGCGGCTTGTAGAGGATGGAATCAAATGGCTGCGGCAGTGAGATGAAGGCAGAGTCCTTTCTGCCCCGGGGTCCAAGGCATTTGTTAGCCTGCTGATTCCTACAGAGGGCTCTGGGACACATGGAGGAACGGCCCTGCCCAGTGGTGATCTGCCCTCTGCAAGCTACAGGAGGAAGGGACAGGGAAGAGCTCCCTGCGAGATCCAGCTGTGCTTCACTGTGGCATAAACAAGAGATGGCTCTGGCCAGGTCCTTCACAGCTGATGACCTTGGGCACGTTATTCATTTCTCTCCATTTCAACTTCCTCATTGATACAATGGCAATTATTATACTCACTTGCATAACTGCTGCAAGAAATTCAAGGTGGTTCCCACTCAGTGCATCTACTTGGTTTCAAGGCTAAATAAATGCCTGTCACCAGATGTGCCGCTATCTTTCCAATGAATGTTAGTACAAATAAGACACAAATTGAGTTAAAAGAAAGCATCAGTGAGTCCCGTAGCATTGCCGTTATGTTTCCTTAGTGAACTACTATGGGGAAAAGATAAATTTTTCACCCTAAAAGGAGATTCTGATATTTGAGACCCAGGATGGAAAGTTAATGCAATGCATCATGCCCAGGTCGGGGCTCCCACACACAGCACCCAACCCTGTAAGTGCTGGGCCGTCCTGGCTCGGAAGCCAGCCGTACACTCTCTGAATGACACCAGCCCAGAATCTGGATTCAGATTGCTAAGGTTTTCCAGACAGGACAGTGGTGTTCTCCAGCTGGTGTCTGTTAACAAAGACACTAAGGCTTTGAGGGAGCCAGTTTAGGGCAGCAGTCAGCCTAGTACATTCGGGAATCATGGCAAGGCCACTAGGAGCACTTGTTCTGTCAGGGTGAGATGCACAGGGATGGTAAATTCTACATACTCTATATATTCTCTCTCTCTCTGCTCTCCCATTTGGAGCTCACTGCTGGCAGCAATACAAGCTGCCTGCCCTGCCTGTTTGGCAGAGAATCCTCAAAGGCCTAGAGTGGGGGCCTGTTGACCCATGCCAAACACAGTCTCCACCTCCCGTTCATGCCATTCCCCACAACTTGGCCTGCCAGCTGTATTGTGGGACTTCAAAAACATTAACTGTGACTCCTTCACTTCTGGCCATTCTAAAGAGATGAGAAGTTCAACCCCTGAAAAGATGTGTTTTTTTCCTCAAATATCAGAATCGACTCAAGTAGAGCTTATCAGAAATGGGGAGAAGAAAGGAAAAGAAGGAATCTTAGTTCTTGCAATCGATGCTGCTCGGATACCATGAAGGATCAACTGCTCTTTGGGTCAGACAGGGAAAAGGTTAGGGAGCAGGGGAGGTGAGCACTGATGTCACTTGTGCTGTTCCAGAATGGCACTGCACCTAGAGTGGTAGCATTTGGTATTTGCAAGGTGCTTCTCTTCAAGAACAATGGGGTAGAGGTCCACAGCTCTGAGATGAGCATCTGGCTGAACTTGGTCACTTCCGGTGAATGATGGTCCTGGGTTGAAGTGTTTCTGTTCTATAGCAGAGAAAAAGCAGGCCAGTTTGGGGGGGGAAGGACCTGATCTTAGGTATTGGCGTTGCCAAATTCCTTAACTAGTTCCTTTTGTTGTATTGTGGTTTTATATATATATATATATGTATTTATATTTATATTTATATAGAGAGAGAGAGGGAGAGAGAGAATATATAGAGTATGTAGAATTTACCATCTTATCCATTTTTAAGTGTGCAGTTCAGTGGCATTAAGTGCATTCACACCACGGTGCAACCATCACCAACCTTCCTCTTCAGAACTCTTTTCATCTTGTAAAATTATCTCTGTACCCATTAGACACTAACTCCCCATTCTTCCTCCTCCAGCCCCTGGCAACCACTATTCCAGGTTCTGTCTCTATGGATTTGACTGCTCTAGATACTGCATATGAGTGGAATCATATGCTATCTGTCCTTTTTTGACTGGCTTATTTCACTTATCATAAGTGCCTCAAGATTAATCCATGTTGTAGCATGTCTCAGAATTTCTATCATTTTTAAGGCTAAATGATATTCCACTAAATGTACACACTCATATTTTGTGTATCCATTTATCTGTAGATAAGCACTTAGGTTGCTTCTACCTTTGGCTACTGTGAATAATGCTGCTGTGACCAAGGGTGTAGTCATATTTCTTTGGGGTAAATACCCAGAAGTGGAACAGCTGGATCATACTTTAATTCTACATCTAATTTTTTTTTTTTTTTTTTGAGGAACTACCATACCATTTAATGCAATAGCTGCATCATTTTACATTTCTATCAATAATGCATAAGAATTCCAATTTCTCCACATCCCTACCTACACTTGGTATTTTCTTTTTTTCTTTTTTCTTTTTTGGTAACAGCCATCCTGATACTTGGTATCCTATTGTGCTTTTGATTTACATTTCTCTAATGATTAGTGATGTTGAACATCTTTTCATGAGCTTGTTGGCCATTTACATATCTTTAGAGAAATGTCTGCCCAAGCCCTTTGCCCACTTTTTGAAACAACTCTTTAGCAGCCATTAAGAATCCAAAATTATCATAATCAAGAGTAGTATTTTTGGCATCTTTGAGGATCTTGTCAACAAGGGGACAGTTTTAGCCATGATTATATAAGGAGACACATCCTAACTGCTTTGTAGACAGGTTTTAAAAAATATTATTTGTGCTCCTAATTCTTACCATCTCTGGCTTGAGTAAAAATTAAAGAGACCTACAGGTACAATGATGGAGAAGCAGAAATTAAAGCCTAAAGATTGTATTGGCTCTAAAGTTCTTCTTTCCTGAGATACTTTTCTTAAATAGTATCCTTTCAAGATGAACAAATCAAAAGAGAATTACGTGTGGTGTTTTTAAACATGAAGAGCGATCTGTACTGTGGAATAGCTTTAT